TAAACTCTCCAGAAAATTTAATCGTTGTCAGCCGTCTATACTTCTTTCTGAAAACTGATGTCAGCTCATGATGAAATCCTCAAACCAATCAAACAAAATCCCTACAAAACCAATACTTGAAAGCCTATACTTCTCACATTAGAAGAAAAGTCGAATTCCACATTTCACTTCTTAGATGTTACGCTAGAAGAAGAGAATGGCATATTGCAAAAAGTCGATCTGTTGACAGTATGACCTTCACAGGAAACTACACTAATGACAACACTTGGATACCTCTAGGTAGAAAGAGACATCTTATTCATTCTCTAAGCTCTAGAATTCGGGAGATTCGCTCCCTAGATACGGTCGATAAAGAACTGGAAAACATTCGCACAACACTGTTAAGTAATGGATATCCAAGAAGGTCTATTGGAGAAAGAAACATGAAGAAAGAAACCACTCCTTGTCAAATCACAATGTCAAAGAAAATTGTATTCATGAGTTTGGCATTCAATGATGACACTATTGCTGAAGTGATTAAAAGTCGTCTATCAAAGGTTCCTTCCATGCTGTTGACCTACACACACTTAGTAATCTCCAGTAGAAGTGAATCCTAAACTACCGCCACCTGTATGTTCGTCTGCTCTTTCACATGCTCCTGTGGAGCTGACTATATTGGATGTTGTAATCTTGTTCCTCGCAAACGCCTAGCTGAACAATCCATTTCGCTTGGTGAAAGGCTAGCATAAGATGATGCAGTTTCCCACTTGTGGAACACCTTCTGTCATCAGGTGATTCACACCCACGAGATTTATTCTTTAAGGTTATCTACACAGCCAAATCCAGTCACTCTAAAAGTTGACGTTTTTATTTATTTATTTTTTATTTTGATTTACAGCTTGATTCCACACCGTATTTTTAGTACAAGTATGGAATTTTCAGCATGGATATCGGTAGCCCAAATTCAGGCCGACCATAGATATCGGGTGTGCGCCGGCAGGGGATCGAACCCCGGAGCATGTGCATGGTCGGCGAGAGTCCTAACCACTGTGCCACCGACACTTATGTACAGCTGAAGCTCTAACTTTACATAAACAGAAACCTAAACTATGTATTCAGAATCATTTTGTTCAGCCCCTTTCTTTACCTTCATCGTAGTAGTGTTCTTTTCATTTCATTTATTCTCTTTTACCACTTGAATTCATTCCACTTCACTTCATCTTCGCCGTCTTTATTGTCATCATAATCATCACACTTTTGATTCAATTTTTTTTTTGTTGACATTTTGCCTTTGCCTACTTTTGATATCTGAATACCAATTCACTTATTTGATAATCTCTGAAAATCTTCCAATTCATCCACTTCAACTCTAAATCCCTTAAATAACAGGTTAATTGTCTTTATTCTTATCATCATATGTATATACCGTAATAGAAATACTACTGTACAGATTGAAAATGAAGTCATCAAAAAGAAAGATTTCTTCGTTGAACAAAAACTGTGTTTTTCCTTATAAGATAAATGGGTACATTTCGTGTGATTTTAGACAATGGTTGTATGAATCCAATGAGTCGCTTATATAAAACTCTGTGAACGAACTCGATACAAATGAATAAGTCACAAATAAGTACTACAGTGTTTGCACCTCAGAGCTGTAATCTTTTTGCTGTGATAATGTACTCTTCCCAAATTCCGAACTTTGCCTTAGTCCTCCAGTGCTCCAGGGTATATCAGCGGTAGTCATTTACTCAGTATGGGATCTCCTCTTTTTTTTAATATGAAGACAAAGGCTGTTATTCAAGTTCTAAGCGCCCTTGCATATTTTCATATCGAAAGCGGAAATCATTCGTGGAGGTGGACAGGGTCGTGGATCACGTGACAAATGTATACCTAAATTACCTGGGTCGACTGATGACAAACTGACGCTGATATATTTACTTGATTTTTGCTGTTGTTAAGGCTGTTCTCTGAAATCAAATACACTATTGTATAAGTAAGACACATCACAAGTGCACTTTCCCCTAAATAGATCACGTGTGGTAATTAGTGTATACATTGGGTTTGTCACTCACTAGTATGGCATCGGGAATTCAGCTTCACGCTTTCCCTTGAACCTATCAATGGAAACAATAAACGAAAATACATGAAGAATCATTGATGCGTCAAAGTATATTGCTGTTCTACCGAATACAAATAACAAGGGTGACACGGTACAACTGTCGAAATAATGGGACGTAGTTCCAAATAAAACGAAGGCTATAATTACAGCACCGCAAAGTCTCATCAGTCACGCTGATCATTTACCTCGACTTCTAGAAAACCTACGCAGTATATTCTAATCTTTCTCTCTCTCCCTATTACACTACTCAGTGGACAGTCACAAAGTGATGCATTTCCGCATATTTATAGCACTGAAGTAAATACACACGTGTGAAACTGTCTCCAATTCCAGACCGGTGCATACCAGTTTGAACTAATCTTGTCACAGTCCATACTGGAACAAAAAGTATTCTCAAGAACTTCTAAAGTCTTGAAGACAAATAAATGTGTAAGCCTATAGTTTTAAGGTAGATGATCAGTCTAGAAAACTTATAAGATTCACTGAAGGGAAACTTTCCTTCTCGATGATATTAGATTAAAGCTTTTCTAGTTTGCTAATTCAAAACACGCAACAATATTCATATAGTGAGTATCTATCTATGAAGCCAACATCTAGAAAAGATATATGATCTTGCATCAATCGTTTGTATTTGGAAGGTAATATTACTGCGACATCTAATAAGTAAGTAAGGTATCATACGATAACTTGAAGTTGCAATTAATGTAATTAATTCCGTAGGAGGAAGCGAAACGATAAATGTAGAAGAATCAAGTATGCTGAAATATAATCAGGTAGAAAATCAGTGTACCTTCTCGGTATAAACAGCTTTACATCGACCTATTAGTTTTGATTGACATCACGTAGAGTAACTAATTCTACTCATGCATAAACGTTTAGGTGTATCTTAGCAGACTGTCTAAGCATCTCTCTTCACTTTTCTCTATGTTTTCGCAGAAGATGAACATATCATCTGTGTCAATAGTTAACGTTTTGATAAACTGGTAAGGCAGGTTGTCTTTGATTCACAAATTGGAAATAATCCTACAACCCTGATGTACGCACGAAGGCTACCACCACCATACACACCATAGACAGCGCATAATAAAGGAAATCTCAAAAATCTACCTGATTTATCAAAGATACATAAGATGGGATTAACAGTTTCAGTGTTTTGGAGGTATTTTCTTTCTAGTTCCTTCATCAGTGAAACATGTTTCTTCCTGTCTGCTATATGTGTTAAATAAGTGTAGGCATAGAACTCCCTACACCTGGTACAACATAATTCTAAAATGAAATTACTTAATCTTACATGATTTCCAGTGATAAAATGTGATAAAATCCTGACCAGTGAACAAGTAGACGAATAAATAATAGCCTATCACTGTGTACTACATCAAACAAAATTACTTCATTGGGTGAAAATTTAGTCAACTGACAAAACTTCATATCGGTTCATTTAACCTAAGCCCATCCATCTCACAGGACAATACACCAAATAGCCTTCACAACAATACCGCTATCGGGTTTGTTGAGGAACTCCTACAACATTTACAAGCCCGTGGACGAAATAACGAACAGAATTTTGTTTTATACTTTACAAATCCACTAAACATTCGATAATGACAATTATCTGAATATTAATATTCTACAACATGAATATTAAAATATACACCTAACGCAATCATCGAGTGAGAAATAAGAAACGTCAAAACAATCAGCATTCTTGGTATAATATTCATATCAGGTCAAATAGTCTGTGATTACAGTCAGATGTAGATGGTGTTTTATCAGCAAACTCCCAGTATTACTAAACAGGTTGATATTAGGTGGTTGCAGGCCATAGGCAGAAAGCCCTGGACCTCGGTTTTGTACTCGTTGGCACTCGTCAGTGAGGCGTACTTGCGACCTTGAAGGAACTCATACCCCCCTCCAGACTCGAACGCGTATCGCCCAGTGCTGCAGTCAGAGACGCAACCATTGAGGCATTCGGGCTCACGACTCACCCCATGTAGGACTGTATCGAATAACTTGATTGGACACTAGTTAGTAACTGGTGTAGTGTGTCTAGTCCTTTCTTTGGTGCAGACTGAATCCTAATTTCAACAATCCACAGCGCATCGCGATGGCGAACCACCTAGCATGATGGAATTCAGTCTGCACCAAAGAAAGGACTGGACACATTACACTAGTTACTAACTAGTTTACAATCGAATTACTGAGTAGGATTGTGAACCTTACCTCACCGAAGTGATTACAACATGCTACACACACACACACACGCATGACCATTCAGTACATAATCGTAGACCTAAAGGTAACCTCAATTAGGGAAGCGGCATAACGCCATAAGCATCTTAACATAACACTAACTTGTGAAGCTTTTGATCACGGTAATTACTTAGCAATAACTTATTTCCAAACAACCGAAAACATCAAGCGATTCAACATGAAATCAAACATACATGCAGGTATTAATTGTCGGACCTCGTGGACACCTTGATACATTCCGTACCCTATATTGATTTTCGCCCTTTCATCCACCTTTAATTATTTATAACTGAAGAGTGTTTCTTTGAACATCTTATGATTCATAACCCTTAGAGTCATTCTGTATCCATTGGAAGGATAAACAAATTTGCATTCCACTAGAAAATATCCTCCCAATGTAGTATCAGGCACTTCAGTTAAAGAAGAGAAACTTGAGATAACGACATAACACAATGTCTGTATGCTATGCTATGCCAATGAAACACATTCCCTATGTGGTGACTTAGGATACACACACACACACACACACGGACGAACAAACGGACAACCCGGCCGCTCAAACCAGCGTGAATAAAGTAAAACTCCAGCTTCTGAGTTTATGATAATCTAAGTGACTAGGTTAACAGACAACGAAACAACTGAAAACATCAACGCTTTAATTTGCTAACAATTCTATACAACAGAAATGACACACAACAAATTCAAAAAGTAAATTTATGTCATCACAATATTATCAAAATATCCCACTTTCTCTGAATGCTTTACGCAGAAATGTTACACGGTATTGAAATTGGAGTCTGCAACCATGCGGATAAGACTCACTTTTCTTTATTATCCCATCCATAGACGCTGTTTTTTGGGGAGTATCCATTGCATACTATAATAACAGGGAACTGATAGAAATGTTTTACCATGTCATGTCGTGTCCTGATTATTTTAACGTACACCACAATGCATATGTGATAGAAAGCTCGCGAAAGATATTTGTAATTTCAAGCTATAACTGAAAATAACACAAACAATGGAGCAATTTAGTAAACTGATAACCACAAGCATACGCTGCATATAAATTTAACTCAAATGAAAAAATAAATTCTGAACAGAATATGGAGTACGAATCTACTTACCCGAGATTGGAAATCGTCAGTTAGCTAACATCGAATCAACAGTTCTAATACATCAGTCATTATTGATATAAGTATAATGGAGTTACGTCAGTCATTAGTAGATTTCAGAAGTTGAAGGTCAGAGACAAGAGAAGATTTGAAACTTATCGCCCAATTTATTGTAAGCAGTACGACGAGACCTCTAAGTATATGGGTTCGTCAGTTTGTTTTCGTGTTATTCGAGCGGCTGGTTCTCTCATAACACTAGGCACATAATGGCCGACGCTCATTGATGTTGTTGAGTGTGCAACAAATATATCCACAACCGGACGGTTTGTACATTCGAAGTTGTAATATACACCAGCTATTCCAGCCCACTTTTCCCTGTCTAATGAAAGATATTTTGAATTTAGAAAACCATCAATCAGAGATGACTTGACTACTTCGGGAACAGAGATTGACGAACCGCTGAATCGTTCGGCACAACGCTGAGCGAGCTGGGTCTTTACTAACTGTTCACCTGTACCAGAAGTGACGGTACCGATTCGCGAATACAAACTGAGTTCCTCTGCCCAGCAACCACAACCGTATGTACATGCTTGTCCAATACGACCCTCGTATTTTATTGCAATGCCACCGCTTGACGCCGCAGAGGCAATGTTACCTTCCAAGTCCACGCATACAGCGCCGACGGTGTCAAAACTGGATTTCTTTTCTTCACTGGAATAACTACACCCAGGCATACAATCGGTAATACTCGCATTCCCATTCGTTTTGTCATCATCATGTAACCAACTTCTGTATTTTTCCCACGATAATTGTGAAGCTCTAGTGGTAAGATCACATGTATCAATAAAATGTCCTTTTGTAGCTGCCCAGGCACGAACCCCATCACCAACAAGTAAACATGGCTGGACTCGTCCACATTCACCCAAAGGCTGGTCAATCTGCGTCTGTAGGAGAAGTCTTGCGATTTTTACAGGATTTCTCACATTTCGGACGGCTCCGACCCCAGCAAACTGATGGGTAGAACTAGTCATTATGCCTGCATCACACTCGACAAACCCATTTATAGTTAAATTACTTCCAAGCCCCGCATTGGTTAATGAACAGTCTTCTAAATAGGCAACGGCAGTCTCTACAGCATCCACAGCGTTCTTATTTTCAAAACACATCAGATCAGAGGCATGTAAACAGGCTTCATAACATAATTCGTTATATTTCTCTTCGTTAAATTTTGAGTGGTTCCCTGCACCCGCATGCACAAGAACACAAGCCATGATATAGCACTACGAAATTACTCTGCTGAAGCTTCTAAAATGAAACAAAAATAGTAGTAGATAGTAAGAAAGGGTGTAGAACAATCGTGTAAATATGCATACAATCGAAAATAGATTAAGTGAGAAGTAATTTCGCCGCCAACTATTCAGCATCATCACTCTGAATCACTGATATTTAAACTGAATTAAATTCTTCAGATAAATTTTATTTCAATTCACACCTTAGGTGCATAAGCAATTTCAAAACAGATGGATTTCGAAACCCTTGTAAAAAGTGCTCATGACCATATTCACTTATCGGGAAAAAGGGAATACATCGCCAGAACAACCAAAACATACCATTCATAGCATCGCCCAAGTAATGACACCTCAAAAAGCTGATTCTAAACTACATCGACAATAAAGAAAATCATTCTTACCCATTTGGTTTGTGAGAGACATTTCACAGTCAACCTCCTTTAATCACATCAAAACCAACACCATCGTCTCTCGCTTAAATTTGAGAGGGAAAAGAACAAGAGGTTCAGCGAAAATATCTTTCAGATATGAGGTTGGTATTCCGATGATCAGATTCTTGTCATTTATATATTTGCAAAGGAAACAAATTGTGTCTGTGAGAGGCACATTCGTAAATAGAGATTCTACGTCCAGTGATAACATTCGTTTGCCATTTACATTCAAGTCTTTTATGCATTCAATAAACTCAAAAGTATCTCGGAGAGAGTACTTACAGAGTTGTTATCTCACAGTCTCTAGCATTTCGGACAGCCATTTGGCAATCGGATCGTATGGTGATCCCACCATGTCTAAAATTGGTTGAAGTGGCACACCTGCTTTGTGCACCTTTGGTAGACCGTAGAGTAGAGGGATAATTGATCCTGTTGGTCTCAGGCGTTCAACTAGGTTGTCAGTCATGAGGCAGTCGCTCTGCATTCTCCTAAGGACATCTGTCAGTTGCTGTTTCATCAGTTCTGTCTTAGTTTTCTCATTGTCTGGTTTTGAAAATTTACTATCAGCAGAGCCATGGACTCGTTACCGCAAAAATCTAAACAGTATTACAAACCAATACCTTCGCATACACCAACTCACGTATTATTACAAAATACTCAGGTATCAGGCATATGTGTTACAGAGCAGTTCTTTTCGTTAGACTCTACGCTTGAGATATGGCTACTGAAAGAACGTAGATGAAAATTTCAGGTTTCTCACCACATGTTTCTCCGCTTCATTGGTCGCTCTAGGCGAAGCGACATGGTGGGTAGTGTTGCAGTAAAACATAAATTCTTAGGTGAGAGGAGTTCGATCGGTGAGGTGATGAATGTATACTCATCAACGTGTCTGGGACATTTGATACACTTATCGAGTCATTGACGTCTTCATTAAGAAATGCCAGCTGAAGTGCGATTCGGCTGGAAAAATCGTGGGGTCGTGAGGTTGAAAGTGATGCCAATCCATTCAGCCCTAGAGCCTGAGATACTGAGTGTTGCTCAGCTAGAGCCTTCAGGGTGCAGACTTATGATGAATTGCCTTCTTATGACTTTAGAAATTCTGAATACTTTCGTGATCTCATTTTAATAATGATCTCTTGCACATATAATGTAATCCAACTTCTGTCCCCTTTCCCTGTTTTCGGAAGTGAAACAATCTAAAGAATTTATTAAAGCATCTACAGTTTTACCATATAAGGAGGGGATATCTGAAATCCTACGTAGGATTCTTAATAAAGCAGGAATTAGGGTGGCATTTAAACCCACAAACTCACTCAGAGACAAGCTCGGTGGGTTAAAGGACCCTGTTGACCCAATTAGATAGAATAATGTAATTTACAAAATACCTTGAACTACATAAGTCAAACTAGTAGATCGAGGGTAGTCAGGTTGTCAGAACATAAGAATTCAGCTAAGGTTAGAACAATTGACCCCGCGAAGACAAGTAATCTAGAAAAAGGCTCAGCAATTGCACTGCATGCACTAACACACAACCCCACAATAGGGCGGCAGAGGGTTAAAATTCCAAAAAGTAATACAGATAGGTGGCGAGAGAGGTTGATTACTCAATCTTTGTTCATAGAATCCACACCCAACACGTGCAATAGGAATGACTCATTATTCATAACAGAAATATGGAAAATATTACTACCAGTCAAATCAAGAGATGAGAAATGGTGGAACCGTATGAATGAAGTTGGAAAGTTGTGTCAGTAACTTGATATGATTATGAGCAATAAATTGTGCTCGAAACGTTGTCATCATTAGACATTCCTGTATAACACTGTGACACTTTATTAAAATAAATTCCATCCTGAGTGGAATTATACGCCACCACAGTGCACAAGTTCTATTCTTTTATCCTCACCAAAGGGAAAGACGCAGTATTTGACAAGACCACAATAGTCAAGAGTTACATGCCATTTTTTTCGAGACATAATCGGCTTCAACAGTTGTCACACAAATCATGATTCATGAGCAATATTTCTTTGGACAACGCTCCAGGTAGGAAGATCGGAGTGACAATAGAAGCCACTGCACAGTTTCACTACCATAAAATGGAGGTCTTGTTCATTACATTATCAGAACCTTGTAGTCGAATACAATGTCTCTCCTGAAGTGGAGTTTGCGGAAAACTGGTTTAACAATGCAGTGGTTCCAGATTTAATGTGACTTAGCGTTGTGAAATTGGAGAACACCAAGCTAATATTAGACATCATCACAGTATACAGTGGTGAGAAGGATTTCATTTTGGGGCAGATACATACAGTTCAAGTGTCGGGTTTGTTCGACCCAGATTTGCCCAGCCAGCATTGACTTTAGGTGCACTTTGGGTAGACTTCGGGTGCAATTCAACCGTCCTAGTTTCTGCAATGAGCCCGGAGATTTTGCCCTGAAATGTCTACAGTGGGCCTAAAGAAAATGTTAGCTGGACAACTTTTCAGCTGCAGATGGCTTGCACCACTTAACCATTGCTTTTGTCCATCGAATGAATGCACCCAAAATTTTAATTACAGACTTAAAGAATCGCAAAGTTAAACTATCATAGCCAGAACCACAGTGGCCTTGGACAACCAATCGGAATTCAGGTGCAAAAAGCCGCATAATCGTTGGAAAATACACTAAAAAATACTGCAGTTTTGATACTACACTGTATAGTTGCAGCTTACATGTTGCAAGAATGTCTCTCAGTTACCATACAGATGGTCATTGAGATATCATACCATGCCCAATAAATGCATTCATCCAGGTGACTGTAGGTCGTGGTACTTTGAGATCCATTGACACTTCTAACACTGTTCTCCAACCTACCCTTAACTCCAACTATAATCCTAACTTTAACCCTAAACCTAGGTTCATGTTAGCTAACATTAACTCTAGACCCTAAACCTTAATCTTATAAGCCACAACCCTACCTAACAGTATAGATTTGCAGAACATTGAATAAGTAGAATACAGTATCTATCCTCTCAAAGTCCAAAAAGGTAGACATAGTTTGATTTGGAATGACATTACATAACATGGGATATCCCATGTGTCTGATCGGTTCTTGATGGTCAACCTTTGAAAGACCTTGACTTTCGCTGTTCTACTTCAATTCGGTAAAAGAAACAAACAAAAATTCTACCGTTTCTACACTAGCCCAGTATCTATCAATTGACGTAGCATTCAAAAACAGGACGAACAGAATCCTACCTGAAGTCCGCGCACTCAAAATTGAAAGTGTTCGACCACGCACCTCCAGTCAACTTAAACAACCGACTTCTACACCCAACAAGGAAGAATGGTGAAGCTGAAAAGTAATAATTTTGGCGATTTATTCACTCCGGCTACAGTTGGCGAGGTGGGTCCTCGAAATAGAAGTGTTTTTGTTCATACCTCTTGTTCTGCTGCAGTATCTGTTACCTTCCCAAGCTTATTATAATGCTGAACTAAATCTCACTAATTCTGAAATAATTCTAACATTCTATAGTGAGTAATTTCTGAATCTGTTCTGAAATGGATTCTTTAATGGCACAGACTAGAACTCAGTGCATGTTTACAGCATGACTGGCACTATTGAAGCTATTTGCAGACATTTTTGGTGTACTGAGAGCAACCAACTTTCAATCACATAGTCAAGCTGTTGTGTAATCAACTTGTTTTATTGGTTTATAATTGGCTGATCAGCTAATCTCCGACTTAGCGCCAGTCTTTTAAAATCACTTGCGTTGAAATCAAGTTGGTCGTCGCATGTGTTAAATAGTGTTCTGAGATCCGGAGAGTTGTCTTCTAGCCACAGCTAGTTTCCCCGGTACTATTTTTGGAAACGCTTATATTATCTTCCAATTTCAAATGACCTGCTCTCACGCGAAGCCTGCTAGACAAACCGGTAGCCAATATTTTAGGTGTAACCGATAGCAGACAAATACCACTGTGGTCGTCGCATATATTACATCGGGTATTTCGGAAGGTGGTATCGATGACGACTTCAGTCAACACCGACGGAATTTTCTTACATTTCTGCAGGTTCCTTGACAGTCCAGTGAATGCACTTCAGTGAAAGATGCCACGATTTTCGAAAACATCCCGGGTTAGGTTGTCTAGGCCGAACGCCTAAGAGATTCTCAGCACGTGGAATTCCGTTCGGAAATACACTGTGTCTGGTGCGCCATTATTGACCAAACGTGGGACAGTGTGGTTAGTGATGCTTGATGCTAGCTCTGTTGGCCAGCCAAACATCACTCCTAAGTGCTCTTCCCAGACTTCCAGGTGTTTCTTTACGGTGGTAATTGGCGTACCATCTGACCTACAGTCTGTCTTGCTGGAATTGTGCCTCTTGGTAAGATTAGCTCCAATGAGGTGGGACAGATTCTGACTGTCGCCAGCTGCTGATTCCATATCAGTCGCGTGTTCTGACCAACAGGCTTCGCGATCCTTACATAAACACCGTTTCATCTTGTACATAAGCCCCTCATGCATACCGTTATACTCGCAGCCTGTATGAATAGACCAGCGCTCATTCAGAAGTTGCCGCGAACTAGCAGAAGTCCAGTGATTTTTGGCGGAGCATTCCACTATGCCACAAGCGGATTCATTCTCATTTCAAACAACGCCTTGAAGGCGTAGCCAGTTTAGTACCTCGCTATAATATTAAAATGAACGCAAAATTACCGACCGATGTCGCACGTGGTGACAGAAGACAGCAGTCTATTTTGAGGATGGAAAGTATCCAACGATATTTCACGTCCAAACTACTTGGCTACGATTGCACGTAAGACTACACCTCACGGTGCATGATTCTAAGTCTTGACCCACTCTGGACAAGACGACTTATTATAAACCTAGTATTCTTCTTTAATGTCCTACACAAAATATCATCCTCAGACAATAAGGACATACAATTCTCACAAGAAGGCTCTTACGATCTGCGTAACCAAACTTGTAAAGTGACAATAAAAGCCTTTAACTCGACACTCCGAAAGAACTTCTTCACAATCGTGAATTCTAAAATATGGAATGGCCTGCCCCTAGAAGTCAGGAATCGCACCTCGGTTATAAGTTTCAAACACCCTCTGTGCAGACTGTTTTACTCTACTGATTACATTAATGAACTCTTATTCTTAGAACGAATCAATTATTAGTTAGCTACAGAGCCTGAAAAACGTGCGAAAATTCTCCAGTTACTTCATAAACGATAAATAAACTAGTCACGTAGATGCATAAATAGACTGAGAAGAAATAGATATATTGGTTTACTAGATGGCAATGTGCGACGAATATAAACATGTATATAAACAAGCAACAAATATGAGTAAAGAGCAAGTTTCAGCTTCGATAAAGGCCTAGAGAGTTAAGATCAGATAGAGTGTTATATTATTATTATTGTTTCCTTTAATTCCTAGAGGAACATAGGGCTTCAGCCGTGCGTCTCCATTGCGTTCGGTTGTCTGCTAGAGTCTTTACCTGGCTCCAAGTCTGTCCACACGTTTTCATCTCCTCTTCACATGACCTCCTCCAAGTCACCCTTGCACTGATGACCAACTCGCCGCTTCCCTTTCGGGTTCCACTAGAGCAATGGCTTGTCTAATGATGTCACTTGATCAGATAGAGTATAATAGTGCGTAAATAAAAAGAATATTGTGAGGTGGGTAAGTGATATTTAAGTGAGGAGTGAATTCAAAGATCTGGAAAATTAGAAGCTGTAGA